GTGAAAAGTTATGATTGCCCCTCTTTTCCACACCATCAGCGAGAGCCTAAAAAACGGTGTACACTGCTTTCTAGCCATTGAGTTCAGGAGAAGGAAACGCTGGTTAAAAACATGTGGAAAGACTTAATAGGTGACCACTCCACTATCTTTCACAAAATTTAATTCCAATAACACGTATTTAAGAAATGGAATGTGTGGAGATCTATGATGGATATTTTATTGAGTTATAGTCGTCTTTGTCCTGATATTTACAACAAAATAAATATGTATCTGCGTGGATTTGTGTGTGTGTGTGTGTGTGTGTGTAGGGGGGAGAGATAGTCATAGAGTAAACACAACCAATTATGAAAAACAAATAAGTAATATAAGCCTGAACTAGCAAAAACGAAACAAAAATTATTACTTCAACTTCGGTGAAAATAGACAGTACTCAAAAGTTCACAGGAAAAAAAAAATCTGCACCCGACCACCACACCCATTTTAAAAAATAATCAATAGAAGGAGTGAACACATTCCAAGAGTGAACACATTCCAAGACAGAACAGTCGTAAAGATACCACCAGGTTTACAAAGCTCAAGCCTAAAGTACTCCTTAGACGGTTGGGAGAACAACAGAAGGTATACATTTTTCAGGATCTATACCAGTCCCATTTCCAGTTAAAACTATATATATATATATATATATATATATATATATATATATATATTAAGTTATGAAGAACTTGGTAAACCGTATGGGTAATCCCAAAGAGAGTGAAATCCTGAGAGCTCAATGTAAATCCAGAGCTAATATTTAAAAGCAAAACAGACCACTTTAAAGTACCATTACAATAATTTATTTCACCAGAGTCCTTTTAAAAGGACCCCGGATCATCAGGTAGCACTTCCGACAACGAAATGAACCGAAAAATGAGATTAAAATTGATGGGTAGTGTAAGTTTGTGTAAATTAACAGTGGGTGTGAGAGTGATAGTTAAAGAGACAAGGTAGAGTATAGGGAGGGGTTAATTCCATATCTCTCTCAAGTGTGCTTTATATTGGGGTTGGAGGAGTGACCAAAATGGAAGTAAATTTTCCATCTCATTCTTTGATGAGGTAAATTTATATATATATATATATATATATATATATATATATATATATATATATATATATATATATATATATATATATATATATATATATGCGCACCTGGTTGAGTGAGTAGAACACGCGCTTTCATGAGACCCGAGTTCGAATCTCACAATGGTCGATTTGTCAGACATGTGACCTTGATGTTATCGGCCATTAGGGCCGATCAAAACGTGGAACTAAGGAATGTTTTTCATTTGAACGCTTTCCATAAATATAGCGAGAGAGCAGCGAGAGTTGCGCTGTTTCGTCTGTTTGGAAAGAGGTTGTAAGGTGGAAAATTATTCGCCGCCCACAAGGACACGGATACGCTCTCGGAATCGAAAATAGCCACTGGTTAGCTACTATCCATATATGGCAGCAATTTTCCATTTCCAACTTGATATAGCACTTGTAATGTTAGAGAATAGCAAGGGGTGTCAGGTACATAACGGAGCGGTACAGCCACCCGATCATTATTCCAGCAAGGAATTGTACGTACGAGTTTCACGAGGTACCAATAGGCTCTTAAACTACGGGGTCTCCCGGAACGAATACTCAACCATCGCGATCGGTGAAAGGTGTCCATTTGTTTGGTGTTCGAGTCGTTGAATTGCGAAATGTCATTTTTCACCCATTGATCTGTTAAGGCTATGTCAGAGGAGAGATCAGCTGCCAAAATCTGTTCATGTAGATCTTTGGAGGTGCGCCCATGTACCTGTTGTATCATCGGCATATATATTCACAAAGGATCGGAGTATACTATTAGGCAGATAATTTATGTAAACTAGAAAAAGGGTTGAACCGAGAAGCGAATTTAGGGGAAAGCTTGGGTCACTGAAGACTGCCAGTTAACAACTACATTCAGGGAGCTACCTATTAGGAAATACTTTATATTTGAATGACTCCATAGTGACACCATTTTGATTTCATTGGTTGACAGCTTGTGCCGTAACGCCTTCTCTAAACCTTTGAAATATCTAATGCAGTCAACCTTAAGAAGTATGTTGTCTCGTGTTTCTATGAGTAATGACACGACATGAGCACTGGGCCGAACCGATTGAAATCCGTAAAGAGGTTGTTCCTATTGATATGAACAACATTTTTTGTTAATGATGGCTTCAAAAACTTTGCTAATAACGCTGAGCAGGCTGATTTTTCTAGATCACCAAACATGTTTTACAGAGTTCCAGATAACTGAGTAAATGATGAGCTCCTGTCGGATAATAATTTTGCTCAATAGAATACAGTGAATACACAAAAACTAGACAACAAGCATACTTATTTATTAAAATGTGATATAAGAAGGCGATAATAGCAATAAAATAGTTATATCACACCAAGTGCACACATATCCAAATGTTACAAACTAAGCAGCACAAAAAGTGAGATTTGTGACATTGGCGTTTACCTTTTAAGATATAATTAATATTTGTTTTCGTATTGTTGTATCCAGCCAAGAGAAATGCTTTCTAATATTCGTCAGTCAACCTCGTTACATGTGCTGAATTTACACACTTTAGATTTAATAATAAGTTCATCAAAACATATGGCATAATTCACTGAAGTCAATTTTATATATATATATATATATATATATATATATATATATATATATATATATACGGCATTCTTCAAACTGGTTTAAATACGGAAATGCAAATTAAAACATAATTGCTGCAGCAGGCTCGTAACCATTTTCTTAGAAACTTCATTGCAGGTACTTACACTAAAAACGCTCGGATATCAAAATTTACCGAATTTCACTGATTTTCCTGAAGAAAAAAATATTACTGAGAAATGCAAAAATCAGATTTGGCATTTTACTTACATTTATTCTAATTTTTTCGATATATTAAGTTTAATTCCATAAAACTAATTATATTTTAGCTCATTTGTGGCAAAGTGAAGCGGCAAGCCAAATGAACTGGCATCGGGCGACGGATCCTGCCCGCGGGCCGTAGTTTTATAATCTCTGTTCTAGATTGTGACGGGGATTGAAAACAAGGTATGCACTTGAAACCTTCCACAGACGTAGGAAGGTTATCTTTTTCAGGACGTAGGTGATCATCTGTCTCCCCAATTTCTTGTATTTTGTTGTTTTGCTATTTCTATTATGTCCTGTTCTGTCATCCATTCAATCAAGCTCATCAAGCATGGTGTGAATTGTTTTTCCTCAATCTACCTTGCCCTTAAACTGTCCTATGAGCATCAAATTTTCCCAGCCTTCCTTCATCATTATGTGCCCCAAAGATTTTAACTTTCTCTTCCTGATGTTAATTATAAGTTTCCATTTTTCTCTAAAGCCTCGGTCTATGTTACCTTAAGAATCGTTCTGTTGAATCACATTAGCTTTGTTAAAAGTCTCTTCTTCATCTTTGAGTAAATTGTCCAGTATTCACTGTCATATATGAGGGCATTTAATTTTTTTGTTGTTTATAACGAAGTTTTCCTGTCTCTTAATACTCTACTTACATTTTGGAAAGCATATTTGGTTATCCCACTGCGTCTTCGGACTTTAGTGTAAAATTTTACGTCCTCTTTTAGAACACATTCAAAACTACCACTTAAGGACAAAGACTGCGATTTTAGCTGGACCAGTATTCTTTTAAGTGTCAAGAGTTTTGATAAGTCTTGAGACTTCCCGTTCTACAATAAAATTATTATTGCTGAGATTGAGCTCAGCGAGACGAATCAGTCGGTAAGGCAGTGGCCTTTATCATCCAATGTTAAGTTTGAAGCAAAGATCATGGCGAAGAGCTTCGCATTATCTGACGAGTATGAGATAACCTCGAGCCATCTATAATAGGAGGCAGTGATGCTTTGTTTCAATTAAGAATTTAGTTGGACATCTCCCAGAAGTCAATTTATTTGCTATTAAACTTGATCTGGATTGTTTGTGCATAGCTACACATTGCATTTTCTAGAACTGAATGATTTCTAGCAGTTCTAAATGCGGTAAATGTCATACAACACCTTTCCATGTGATAGAGATTGTAGTCGTGGTTATGGTATGCTGTGGCTGCAGCAATTTCAGAGGTAAACTAGGGCTGGCTGTTCGTTTTTTTTTTGTTAATGGGATTTTTTTTCCTAGGGTATCAAACTCTCCCCTCCAAATAGGATCCATTCAGAAGTGAAAGCAGCAATTTTTGAAACAGCGATGTTTGAAAATGTCTGGAAGAGGAGTTTCCATCATTTAAGATCATTTGGTAATATTCTTTTTTTTGGTTCATACCTTTCCCTTCTTATTTTCTATTCTTTTCTAAAATTAGCCTGTTGATTTATTTCTTCTTTGCGACCTGTGCTCATTGCCCAAGTTGTATTCCGCTCTATTTATCCTTTAAATTATGTCCTTATTATTTATTAATCTGTACTCTGCTTGAGGAATCTAGTATGGTGTTTAGTAAGGCAGCCATTATTGCAAACTCTTAACATGCATACAACACAATCTTTCGTTCATTGATTTTTTTTTTACAATTCGGTTTTGTGCCAGAAAATTTTAGAAAATCTGCGTTTGTGCAGATTTAAAATACTATTTTCGTACATCTGCTTTCCAATTTATAAATTTCATTTTTGTTTACAAAATTATGCTTTATCTTTCGATTTTTAAAAAGATTATCAAGAAATTGTGTTATTTTCTAATGTTTCGTTTGCTTTTTTTCTTACGAGTTTATATCATTTTATTCTTCATTTGTTCTTTTATTCTTTTTTATTCCGTTATTATTTTTGATACTTCATTCTTCTTATTCCTTCAATCTGTTATTCTTTTTAATCCTTTATTATTTTCTTCATCCTTAAACTGAATGCAGTTTTATTACCAGTTTCATCGTTTTAAATAACATAATTTCTTTTTGCTTTCATAGGATTCAATTTCACACTTTTAAGATTTCTTTATTTTTCAAGTTTATATATCGTTTTTTCTCGATCTTTCGTTAAGCTTAAAAATACATTAAACTTGAAATGAATTTATATTCTGCATTTTCTTTCTCTCTTTTTCTTTCTTTCATGTTGATCTCTTTATTTCTGCCTTTCTCACGATTTATCATATTATGAACTTTTTCATCTTTTTTTTTCTTCTTGCATATCACCTTATCTCGGCCTACGCCCGTATCACGTTCAAACATCGGTTCTAGAAGTTAAGTCATCGTCAAGCCTGGCCAGTACCTAGATGGGTGATCCCTTGAGAATAAACCTCTCCTCATGTTCCGAAGACTAGTTTGGAATGTGAACTGGACGACAGGTGAATATATTTGCTCCTACCGGAAGAATTGAGAGATACAAAGATTAGAAAGATGTGGAAAATCACAATCGCCTACGTTTTTTTTTATTGTTTTTTTTTTTTTAATCTTTTCTCCCTAAGCAAGGCGGGAGGCCACTAGTACGCAAGTGGTTACAGAAAGGATGAGGAGAAGGATAGTGGATAGATCAAGGCAACTGAAGATGTCGATTGACATTACATTTGAATAATTGGAGATTATAACTCTCAGGGAAACTGGAATAGGGAAGGGAGTTTTACAGTCGAGAGGTGCGAGACTTGAATCTATTATAGTAGAAGAGACGTTTACATTTAGTAGTTTCGACAGTGAAAGGGTGAGAGCGGGATGCCAGCCTCGTAGGGCGCTTGAATTCATGAAGTCTGGGAACCAGCGAATGCAACTCCTTGGAGCAATTACCATGAAAGTATTTGTAAGAAAGACAGAAAAAGGCGTCTGTGAGAGAGTGACTTTAGACGAGATGGCAGAACAGGGCCAATTACATTGCATATCCGCCTCTGGATCTTATCAAGAACCCGTGGCAAACAGAAGGGACTCCAGACCATATATGGCAGCAATACTCCATGCAATGGCGAATTGTTGATTTGTAGATCTGAAGGATCGATTCCGGGGAGAAAAATTTCTGTAGGGATCCTTTAGATTGACCTTCATTTCTCCTTCTTTCTTCCGTTACGCTTCATATCTTAATTCTATTATGATCTTGTTGCTTCTCATATTATAAATTTCTTTTTTACTTTCTTTGTATCTTTATTGTTATATTTTTTTTCTTTCATCTAAGTCAATTTCTATTTTAATTATTTCCGGCACCTATATATTAATTTTTTTTTTTTGCTTCCTATTTGTTTTTCAATTGAGTTTAGAAATTGGATGAGAATTCTACTGTTTCCTTTCCTTCCATTCTTTCTTTTCTTTTTCAGCTATTTCTGTTTTTCTTCTTTTCTCCCTGTCCCTTTCTGTTTCTTTCTTTTTTTTCATTTATATCTTCCTCTTTCATTTCATATAAGTCCATTTATATATATATTGTGAGGTTTCCTTATGTATGTATTCCGTTAATACATAATTCTTCTGCAAGAAGACGGAAAGCATGGCTTCTAGTAAAATGAGTGCACCCAAAGTGCCAATTGCTAGTCAGAGATACCAAAACCGAACAAATATTTAAACATCTCCGAAGTGTTTTAAGTGAGGAAACTGAAATCTGAAGGCGCAATGAGATAGCGAAAGTTGCTTTCCAAAAGCTAAGCAATGTATTAAGAAATAGAAAATCTTCACTAGAAACAGGAAAAAGAGGACTAAAACTGTTACGTGATATATGTACTCTTGAATGGCATTTAGTGCTGGCCAATCTCCTCAAGGATGAAGAAGAGACGTGAAGCAAGAGAAATGTCGATTTACAGAAGGATGCTGAGGATAATGGATAGAAAATGTGAGCAACGACGAAATTTTAGAAATAATGAATACAAAAAGTAAAGTTATATTTAGCATCAGGAATAGACAGGTGAAATTTGTAGGAGACATATTGAATGAAGGCTTAGAAAATGTGATACTCACAGGACAGACTGAAGGAAAGCGGGACTGATGAAAATAACAAGTAACATACTTAAAGAGCTTGAGTAAATGGTTGGTGGAAAAATTTTAGGAAAAAATAAATAGACTAAAATTATTACGAGTTACGAAGGATAGAAAGTTGTAGAGAGCCATGACCGCCTACGTTCTGAATGGACATAGTACATAAAGAAAGTCTATATCATTATTTTTATTATGCATTTAAATTGAGTTTCTTCTTTTTCTTTTACTTTTTTTATTTCTTTTTTATGCTCTTTTCACGTTGTTTGTATTTTTATGTATCTTTATTTTTAATTTTTTTTTCTATTTATCTTGTTACAGTTTTGTTCCTTCTTTATAGCTATCTTTGTTCTTTCTTTCTTAATTGATTTTCTCTCTATATATCTTTCTTTTTTCTTTATATTTTTTCTTTACATATGTTCCCATATTTATTCGCTTCTCTTTCCTTTTATGTATTTTCTCTTTCTTTTTATACATTTTCTCTTTCTCTGTACAATTCTTTATCCGTCGATTAGTGCGTCTAAACTTTTATACACCAAAATTTGATTACTACATACATAATACTCGATTAGTGCAGTAAAACATACTACACTTTACCTGTAGTAATTGAAAACTATCGTTTTATAGTTATCGAGGTACACATTAGCCGCACTAATAGAGAAGTTCCTGTATTTTCTTTTTGTCTAATAACCTCTTTCTTTCTTTGTCTTTTTCATGTAATTCTTTCTCTGTATTCATTTATATATATATATATATATATATATATATTATTATATTATATATTCTTTTTTATTTATTTATTTTGCTATTTATTTCTATGACTCTTCTCCCATATTTTATTATATTTATATTATTTTATCTTTGCTTACAGCCATATCGTGTTGAAACACCGGTTCCCATACGATCACCGAAGTTAAGCCCCGTCGAGCCTGATAGGGATCTACTGTACTGTACTGATGCGGCATTCACCCTGAGCGGATTGAGCCGGCTTCTTCCTGTTATGAGAAGAAGATTCTTGGGATAAATTACAGAAGTAGGGTACCCAGGCCTACTCGGATAACGTTCTTGCTTGCCGCGGGGTTCCCACAGACGCAGAGACAGGAACGACCAAAAGCCGCCGGTTACCAATGCAGACGCTCCTTGGATTTTCACCAGAGAGCCCTTGTTAGCCGGCGTGTGTGTCAGACCTGTCCGCCTTGGGTGGCCCTACCAGTTCCGGGCGGCATAGCTCTGACACTACCGTTTACACCCCCCCACCGACTGTGAGGTAAGGGTTGGACTTTGGGGGCTTACAGTACCAGGTGTTCCCAAGCGGTCTCCCATCTAAGTACTGACCTGGCTCTACGCTGCTTAACTTCGGTGATCGTACGAGAACCGGTGTTTCAGCGTGATTTGACCGTAAGCCTGATAGGGATCTATATGTAGAAAAACAGGTGCTCTCTGGTGGAGAGTCGGTTTCTAATTCCTGTTGGATTCATTACATTACGCGCAAATAGCTTTTGGTGTATGGCATGAATCCAGCTCGGTAGAATTAGTAAAAATTGTATAGCAGATCATTATTATCTCAAACGAATTAAAATTTTAAATGTCTCTGTCTTTAAATAACCTACAAATGGTTGGTAAACCGCAAAACAACAAATCAATCATTCAAATAATATTCTTTTTCTCTATGTATATAATTAACCTTTCTTTGTTTCTCTCTTTTTATATCATTAATTTTTCATTTCAGTTAAATTATAAATTAATGATATAAAAAGATAGAAACACATTTTTTTTCAATTTATCTCTTGCATTCTTTCTTTCTTTTTTCTTTCTTTTCCTCCCCTTTTCCCATTTTCATTTTATGTTATTTCTTCATATTTATATTTATATATTTCTCGATTTTCTTTCTCTTTCTGTGATGTCCTTCGCTTTTTTTTCCATTATTTTTTCTTTCTTCCATTTTGTTTCTTTCATTCATTTTATTTCCTTGTATCATACAAACTCATTTCTTTTTTCTTTATTTCTTTTTATTCTACTTTTTTTCTATTTGCTCTTTCTATACATCGTCTTTTTATTATTTTTCGTTCTATTTAATTTCTATCTTCTCCGTTTTTTCTATCTAATATTTTTTCTTTCTTCACTCATTCTAATTTTCCCACCTTTCTTTATACAGTGCAACCGAGGTTTTCGAGCTTCTCACATGTCGAACAAATCGGTTTTCTAACAGAAAAATCCTGATGAAAATTCCTCGGTTATCAAGCAAATCTTCGGTTCTCGAACAATATAGCCGAACCGAGTTAACCCGAACGAAATCATTTCTGATTCGACCACGTGTTGTATACATTCCTGTGTTGTACTGTTCTTTTCTTTTCCAAATTTATTGTACTGTGACATTTTTTTTTTTTTCTACAATGATTCCTATTGGAAAAATAGTTTCGGTTTACGAACATTTCGGGTTACGAACGGCTTCAGGAAGGAATTATATTCGTAAACCGATTTTCCATTGTATATTTCCCATTCCTTTGTGTCTATCTTTTTTATCGCTTTACGCTAATTTTAGGTTTTATTCCTCTATTTCTCTTCTCCATTATTTATTTCGATCTTTCTCGCTCTACTTTTTTCTTTCTATGTTGTTTATCTTCACCTTCTTGATTCTTTATTTCCCACCTTTTTATCTTTTTTCTCTTCATCGGTTGTCTTTCTCTTTTAATCTTTTCTTGCCTTCCTTCTTTTCCAATTGTTTTCTTCTTTTTCAGCTTGTCAACAATCTCTTTCACTCTGACAAACGTAAGCTAATTTTATTTAATTTCCATCTCATTCATTTCCATTATTTTCTTAAACAGGGAAGCGAATCGTTGAAACTTCACAAAACAAACTTACTAGTTTCTTTCACGTGTAGCCGTTGTCATGCCTCTATCAAATTATTTACAAAAAAAAATCCCTTAAACTGAAACTCACCTTCATACTTGTCTTCAATGCTTTTCTTTGCAGGCCGCGCTAGATCTTTATTGGCATCAACTCCCAAGGTGTTCCTCGCAATGCGTATCGACAGATCAGAACGAAAGATTTAGCAAACACAATAAAAACGATAAAGACTCTCTTGTTTCTTTTGCAATGAACCTCTCCTCTGATAGAAGTTAACTTTAGTTGCCTGACGAAAGTGTCCATTGATTGGATATACGCAGAAACTGGCTGTCAGGCAGGAGAATGACAATTCCTTTTTCGTTATCTTTGGATCTGATCTCTCACTGTTTGCTTGTGCGCTTAAACCTTGCAGCTAAGTAAAAGGTACATCAGACGGTTTTTTTTTCGGACTAAAACAGGATCACGTCGATAACTGTAGACTTCATCTGTTACAAGCTGTGAAAGCCACGTTGCAACAAGCAGGAATCTGACGAAGGTTATTCGGCACATTTATCACATAGGAACTGGTTTTTAGAGTTTGACTTTCAGAGTCATTGTGTTAGAGTATTCTCAAAGTAATTACGTTTAACAGATAGGATATAAAAACAAATATATATTAAATTTATCTAAACATTAGGGTATATTTTCTGAATCATTATATCTTACGAGAAATGCTATGAAAATGTAAGTTAAATTAATTTAAATATTAATGCGCTCAGGAAGTAATTACGTTTAATAGAAAGGATATTAAGCTAAAACAAATTTATTTCAAATCTGTCTATATTTCTGAGATGAGTTATTGTAACTATTTACATTTTTTGGACCATCTTCATGTGATATTTCTAAAGAAATGGTACAGCTCTGAATTCCAAGAAATATCAACTGAAGAAAACCGAAGCGTACAACAGCCGAAACGTCGTGAATAGGATAATAAAGATGAGGACAAATATCCGAACAATGTAAATAATTTTGTTTAATTAAATACCGATATTACAGAAAGTAATACCGTTGTAATGGGAAAAAATAAAAACAAATATAACATTTATTTTTTATCTATTATTAATGAAAACTATAATCATCTTAATTTTAATTGTTGCTACGCAATGCCTTGTCGCATATATTGTATTCCTAGTTTAAAGGAATTTTCGGTTATCGACTACTTTGCTTTTGAAATTTCTACCACTAATTCAAGCATTTAACCATAAGGAAGGCGATAATGCCACTAAGACGTAACAGGTTTCTGGCAATAGGAGCATCAGAAGCTTTTATTGGGGAGAAAAGACAATTAAATACAGGGTTCGGCGTTTGCATTAAAAAGTTTGAAGATTATAAATGGCTGTGAAGCAAGAGACCGGAAGTGAATTTCACAGGCAAGAAATGATAGAAAAAATATTATTAGAATAAAACTTTACTGGTTTCCATCCAGCTCTTTCAAAAGTAAAACAAAGGAACCTAGCAGACAATTAAATAGTACGCATAAATTCGTTTGGTTTAGGTACCAAGGAAGAGAGCTCATTAGAATAACTGAAAATACCTATAGAAAAGACAAAAGGAAGCAACATCAGAACGATGAGGTTTACAAGTTGCCAGTGCAGCACCGATAATATTACGGACACTTTTTTGGATTTTATCAACAATATCGAGATATACATTGCGTGCCAAATTATTAACAAGATAACTTTTTTTATAATATTTCAAAAACCATCCAATCAATTCACACAAAATTTTGACACAATGTTGGCAAGACTGACCTACACAAACACTGAAATGTTCAACCTGATCTACGCAAGGAAAACATACTGGCGCCATATTTGTTATCAGAACGGTGATTTGAGCGTGCCAAATTATTAGAAAAGTGTAACAATTTAGTAAAAAGATGGGCCATAAAAGCAGTTTAAGTAATGCTAAAATGAAAAATCTCACCTCAGAACTCTCAAAAGGTAAATCTACCCTAGAAATTTCTAAAATGATAGGGAGGTGTCATCAAACAGCGAAAAGGTTCACCGCCGAGCCTACACAAGTACGCAAAAGGGCAGATAAAGGCAAGCCAAGGGTTATTTCACGTCGTCTCATGTCACGACTTAAACGAGGGGCCACAAAGAACCCTGGACCTACCAGCCAAGAGCTTTTCAGTCGCATTGGGGATCCTACTGTGTCTAAAAGTACTCGGTGTCGGTATCTGAGGGAAATATCAACAACAGTCAAACCTGTATCGAAGCCTCCGTTGACGAGAAATCACATTCAAAATCGATTGAAATGGGCCGAGGACAATATGAAGAATGACTTCTCTAAAGTTTTGTTCACAGACGAAACTCGAGCAACACTGTGTAATGAACGGACAGAATCGCCATCAGCGTTTGAGACGCCAACAAGGCGGTGGAGGGATAATGATCTGGGGTGGTATTATTGGAAAAAACATTAGTGGGCCTATAGAGAGTACAAGATGGCGTCAAAATGACTGCTGATACATACATAGCTTTTATGAAGGAGCATCTTGAACCGTGGATGAAAAGGCAAAGAGTTGCCTTCAGAAGGTCCATTGTTTTTATGCAAGATAATGCTCTCTCACATGCTGCTCACAAGACTACTGAATATTTGAAACAGTTAGGCTTCGATGGACCTCGAAAAATGAAGTGGCCAGCAAATTCTCCAGATTTGAACCCAATCGAATCTTTGGAGCATCATGAAGCGAAGACTGTACGCCAACGGACGACAATTCAGGAGCAACGCTGAGTTGTGGAAAGCAATTCTTGACATATCTCGCGGCATTACAGCAGATGATATCCTACAATTAACAAATTCTATGGATCGTCGACTTCTTCAAGTAATTTCAAAACAGGGAAAGCACATTCCCTATTAATTTGTTTAAAACTGTACCTTTTTTTGTATCTGTTATTATTTGTATGATTATCTTATCTATTAGTTTCTTTTGATCATAAACATTCACGTGCAACATTAATAAAATCTGGGATTTTTACTAAACCTTTCTAATAATTTGGCACGCTCAAATCACCGTACTGATAACAAATATGGCGCCAGTTTGTTCACATTGCGCAGGTGCGGCCGAAAATGTCAGTGATTGCCCAGGTCAGTGTTGCCAACATTGTGTGAATATTTTGTGCAGAGCATGCATACATTTTGTCCTGGGGCACCTCGAGGCGTTGTAATGGTTAGCGAGCTTGGCTCGCTAGAACAATTACGACTGAGTAGTGGGTTCGATCCTCACTGGGTGCCCCCTAATTTCGGCCTTGTGCCACATCTAAGCTTCGCTTGGAAAATCACTATACACATTTTGTTCTATTCTCAAGCGAAAACTCTTGCGGGACGGACATTTTTTCGAATGAAAATCCGAAATACGTTATCAATTAAAGAATGTCACGCCGAAGAAATGATCAACTAATATGCGACATACATTTCTAGTATACAATAGCGACTCTACTTTGGTTAGTGAAGTTTCCGGGTAGGGTCAACCCATACACCTGGAGTGGCAATCTGTTACGTATACCAGAACATGCATACATACAAAGTTCCAGAAGTGTTGGACCTGTCAGAATTACTTTTGGGTGTGCATTTTGCAGACCAGAAACACGTACCCGGAAATATTGTCGGAGTTAGCTCCTCCTTATTTCCTTAATCCATCACAAGGAGTCTCTATCTCCTTGCTATAAATTATGGGTAAACTTTTGCCTCGATCTCTCTTTTCCCCTCAGGCCTTGGGCCGTATCCCACCTCGCGTGGAGGTGAGGTAATTCTGTCTCTTCTTTCTTCATTTCAGCTAATACTAATATGTGAGTTCTCACTAATACAGCGTTTCCCAAATTCTGGGAACACGCTAAGAACAATACCAAAACACCTACGTACGAACACTGAACACAATACACACACATAATATTCAACACACAAACTTAATGTAATTCACTACGTGCTTGTAACGTGTTGTTAATACATATATTTTTCTGTAGGTAATTATCGGTCTTGTTTGTTTTCTTTGTGTTCTTTGGACTTAAGTCCAACATTCTCATGTAGCTGGACCGGCTATCAGGAAATTTTAACCCACGTGTGTTCTTTACATCTTCACCCCACGGTCCTCGACGATATACTAAAATAGTCATAAAACACCCAATATCAGACCGAACGAACCAAATTGAGCTTATATTGTTCTGGAATGTATTGAAATGCAATTTAACTGTATGATAAAGATATTAAAGTGAAAAGAAAAATAGAATGCACATGTACTTTACAGAGGAGATTTAAGCAAAACTGTCGTCATATCTGCTGTTTTCTTTGATTTTACACGCATGATTCATCTGATTTTATGATTATTTGTCACAATGTGTCTAATTTGACTTTCATCTTAATATTTGAACAAAGCTTCAACAAAACAATGATGTATGTACCAGCAACAAACAATTTTTCTGTTGTATTTTACTGAACAAAATATACAGTTTCAATTTGGGTCCTGGCTTCCATCCACATTCAATATGTTGGTTACCGTCGCCATAATACTCTACATTCATTGCCATTTGAATCAGTCCACTGGTATGAAGTGTTCAGAGCCTGTTTCCATTCGAAAATTTGATAATTTTCTCGTTTGATATGTTGATACTATGTATTCTTTGTTGTAGCCAGTTTATCAGGATTTGGAAATTTCTTTCTGTTGGTGAAGGGCTTGTAACGTAGACATCAACACTAGACTCATTTGTTATCACATATGAAAGACATACACATTATTCTATGACTTCCAGCACAGCATTTGGGATCATTGTACTCTCTCCAAGTAAGCATACTGCCACAATACAGCATTAGTCGTACTTTAGTATTTGAAAACATTTCTTCTTCCCTATGCCATTGAAGCTACTCGAAGAATCACACCCTGACAGTGCGTGAAGATCTGGTAGAGCTTTGGCCAATACTACTGATATGTCAGCACCATCAATATCGTAGATCACTTCTTTGCATCCTGAAACAAATTTCAGTAGCATGTTGGCCTGGATCAAGTCATTGTAGTACAATGATTAGAACCCCAACATCAGAGTCCACTGTAGCAATTCTAACACGCGATCAAATCCAAGAGAAGATACATATTTTGAGCACAAAAGTATCTTTGTGTCAACTTTTTCTTGGATGACATTAGCTCAAGAACCTCTGAAATCGATGATCTTCCTCT